GACGGGGGGGTTGGGTACCTATCCTTTAGGCAAACGGTGAATCGATAAAAGTAAGCTGAAGGAACCACTGAGTGTGAAATGGATGATGGATGCAACAAAAGGGTAAGAAAAAAAAAATGAAAGTAAGATGGAGGGAAGGCTCTCCCATGCACATGACCCCAGCCCAACCAGCCCAAAGACTCGGTCACGCCCACAAAGCCCCCAAGGGCCTCAGAAGCCTCAGCAATGCTCGTAAGCAAACCCACCGCCCGCCGCACCTTGTAAACTGGTGCATATTCGTATAGATTCCCTGGCCCGTCACTCTTATGGAATACTAGGATATGTCGACACTATGATATAGTGAAATGCTCACCGATAGCAACGCATCAAGCCCTATACTAGACATGCCATAGCTCCTCCACATTATCTACCTAATTCCCACGGCCCTTCTTTTACCAGCCCAAAGAGTCTGCTCTGCGAAGAGCATCGAACTACTCATACACACCTTCTTGATCGATAGATAACCCCCCGCAATCAGGGTGCTCCACAGACACCGATCACATGGGATCATCGAGACAACATGGACTAAGTACTGTACTACATGGACTGTTGCTAACGATGTAAGAGTAATTACAGTCGTCGGCTAGATATCTAATCGGTCATGACTCAGGTACGACGCCAATGCGCGCCCTGCGCCTGTCAGATTGGAGCTTATCTCGGACATTTTGATAACTGTCAAATGGATACAGACAGAAAGGTGCATTAAACTCCGAGCATTGCGGGTCCTCCAGCCACACCGCCATCTCTGGTCGCTACGCATCGATCCATAGTTAGACATATGGACTCGATGGAATTGATAAGCAAACACACAGAAGTTTTACTTCGATCTGATAGTACAGTCGTGATTAAGTCCCATAATACCCCTTAGAACCATAACCATAAGTTACATACATGCATGCATGCCAAATGTCTCACAAGTGCATCCTTCGTTGCCTCGTACTGACATTCAATCATGGATTCATGAACCACATAATCCCCTCCTCTCGAAATTAGTATCATAATAAGACAATCCCCACCACGATGGCGCAGGAAGAAGTGAAGCAAAAAGAGGCCGCTTGTCTAAGGACATGCTGAAAACTAACTGAAGCAAACCCGGGAATGTGCTCAAACTCCATCTCAATCTTAAAGGCGCCGTAGTCTATGTGGAATCCCGTGATAAGTCCGCAAACGAAAAGGGAAAAGAAAAAAAAAAGATCCGAACACCGTAAAAATCAATCAAAGTGTCCGAAATGAGGATCACGTGGTATAGCAAAGCGTGGTAGCTAGTGTGATAAAACATCACGGGGATTGATATGTTGTGGATCGGTTGATTGTAAATTGTGGATCCACTTGTTGAAAAAAAGTGAGCCATGATAACTCAAGCGACAACAGGTCGGCGAGGGGTGATGGGAATAGGCTTTGGTCCGGCGGCCGAAGACAGGTTCAAAGTCGACATTCCCAGATCGGTATCATCATCGAATTGCTGGGAGGCTTTGCGCCGAGACTTTTCCTTCCCACCTGCCATAGAGGTAGACTGCCGTCTCGCTGCAGCAATACCTTCCTCTTCGCGGATAGTGCTGATGATTTGCTCTTCCGAGACCGGGTATGTGCCGAACTGGTGGCCAAGCTGTTGGAGAAGAGCTACAAAGTGCGCGTGGATTTCCGCAAAAATGTACTGGTTACCCGTGATCTCCGATAGGTTCCTTGCACGAACGGGCCCAGGCCGGCGGAGTTGACCGGCCGGATCCAGTGCACGTCCAGTGAGGAATGAAGAAACAGGGGTGTATGGTTTATTTCCGTCCCTGTCAGGGCGCTTGTTCTGCTCCTCCCGGCGTTTCTCTTCCTCCTGGAACTTCTCTGCTGAGTTTGCCATTCCAGCGGCAATGCGCCCGAAGGTTCGCCAAATGACGGGGGAGGCCCGGAATGCCCTACCCCCATCTCTGCCCGCCAAGGCGAGGAAGGCGTAGCTGCGTCGTTTCCCACGGGCCATTGGATCGGGAAGACGAAAGACGAACGCGATGGTATAGCCGGCGATTCCGTCCCCGAAACTCAAGGGTCCGGAAGATAGTCCGCGTGGTAAGAGCTCACAACTCAGGGTCCGGATCGACGAGCGACGAAGGATGGCGTAATCGGTAGGATTTGGAGGTCCACGCAGGGACAGGTAGGTGAGAATGTGTGAGTGGCAAGAAGCATCTGACGTAACAGAGGACGAATGGAGAGACTCCGGATAGGATTGATGGACGTGCGGGTCGCCATCTTCATGATCAGCTGAACTATTGCCACAGGTGTAGACGACCTGCCGGGAGCGCAGGACCGGACTACCGTTCCGACCCTTGCCATCACTCTTGGGTGCCCCCGGTGCCCCAGGTGGTAGCTGCTTGCTTACATTCTCTGGTAGCGTCAAACTGCAACTGGCACAGGTGTCCCCCTCCGCGCCTCCCAGATGGCTCGAAGGTTGCTGGCTCTCGGCGGGTGGGGTCTTGGTCTTCAAAAAATACGGGTGGTCTTCCATCCGAGGCGACCGGTCGCCGGTTTCCGGGCTCCTTTCAGATAGTTTAGCGGATGAAGGGGGCTTGCTGTTTGTCTGACTTTGCATGCCATGGGAGGAAGCGGTGTCGTGAGAGGTGGCAGGGGTATCAGTGGGAGAATAGTCGGAAGGCTCGGGATAGCATTGTTGGCAGGCGAAAGGAAGAACCTGCGAGCAAATGATCGAGGTTGGACCATGCACCTCGCAGAAATGCGTCAAAGAAAGCTAGAGGCGCGTCGGTCAGTCCACTGGCGCGCTAGATTTGAGGCTGAAGGGCGGGGTGGAACAGGAGCAGAGTCAAAAGAAAAATCCCCTTGCCATGTCGCACGCATGTCTCAGACATCATTGCGTCCAGTCGCGGGCGAGATAATGCAGGAGACAATGCGATTGCATGCGCTTTAGAAATCCGATTGATCGTAACACATCCCAGGCACACATTCTCACGGGTAGAACCAAACCAGATTGCGACGAAGGAGGGAGAGACCGGGGCGCCACTTACTATGAAATCCATGTCTGCGAAAGCTTAAGGTCTAGCGAAACCCAACAACCACACTAGACCATTGTTGCAATACATGCTTTCCAGGTTGCAATGTAGGTGACGACAGTGGTGGTTATCTCAGACAATGACGCAAATCGACCACCACAGAGAAGAGAGGGAGAAGGAGGAATTGGAGATGGGTGTGTGGGAGGGAGAAATTCTGGGTGAGGCTGGCCCAGAACCAGAGAGTGGGAAAATTGGAATCAGTAAGCAACAAGCAAGCAATGGTCAGTCAGTGCATCTGCAACTGCAAAGACCAGCTTGCAGGGACAAAAGCAAAGACACGGAGGAGAATTAAGAAAAGGAAGAGAGGGGAGAGAAAGTAAAGAAAAGTGGAAATTGGGGATGCGGCGGAATAAGAGCGAGACAGAGCGCGAGACATAGACCGAGCGGAAACAAGGTAGGTAGAATAGTAATCACAGGCACATTTTGGTTTTGGTTTAGTTTGGGTTTAATTTTCCTGATATTGTTTAGTGAGCCTCTGATAATAATCGGGAAAAGAAAGGGAAGGGGGAGGGGGATAGTGGAAGGAGGAGCCTGGACGGAGAGAGGGAGGGACCAGGGCCGGAAGTGGAGTGGAGTGCATCGGCAGCAGAAGTACTCAAGTGAACTTCACACTAAATGGGCTGGTCTGGCCTGTGCCGGCTTGGGTGTTGGTTTGGTAACAACTGGGTAACAACTGAGTAATAACACAGTCAACTGTAACGTAACCATACCCACTTTGAAGGCTGAAACCACCAATGAAGGTTTTCACTCAGCCAGATTACCAAGCACAAGTATTGAGTTGTATACATAGTGGCCAAAAATCATAGTGCTTCCATACTTCCATACTTCCATACTTCCATACTTCCACACTTCCACACTTCCACCAGTTCATCGTTCCATGTTTTGTGGGAAAGTTTCCCTCACTACAAAGTACTCACTCATACGTACATACGTAGCAGCAACAGAGTCCCGCTGGATATACCCCGTATAGATGATTAAAATAGACTAAGTTACCTCAGGCTTTCTTTTCTCCCCCCTTTCCTTCGATGAATGGTCACCTAAAAGAAGCCCGAGACTACTAGTCGCCCTTCAGCCCGTCAGCCGGATGGAGCCCGACAGAAAACGGTTTCGGCCTAAGGCGATTTAGCAGGGAAAAAGCCACTTGGAAAACCAGAACAAGCATTCATCGCTGATGTTGCTGACAGTCTGACTCGGGACGAGAGCATGGAACGTAGTACTCTACTCGTCATCTATCTCGTTTTTCCCTTCCTCCATCACGACCATATCCGATAACTGTGCCGATCCTCGAACCATAGTGTCTGCCGGCTGTAAGGAAGAAACAGCGCCTGACACTGTAGCCTGTAGTTTAGTTAGGTAAATTCAAAGTGGTTACTAAGGCAGCGAGCGACCTCGGAGAAAATAATGGCACTCAGTAACTACCTAGTAATAACCAGAACTCCCCATTCGGAACCCTTTGACGGTACTTTCCAAACGCCCGAAGGACCCTAACAAACTTCCGTACCCAATTTGACGGGACGGCCTCTGGCCGCTAATCTGCTTCGTTTTACGCAATCGAAGCTCGATGGAACGGCAGATGGAAGAAGTCAAATTGGTTCCCACCGAAGATGCTCTACTTCTAGCCCAGTCGACTCGCCCACACACACATACTGTACGCAGCACATACTGTACACGCACATACCACAACAACGAACACACAACACAGACAACACATACACTCTCGCTCTCGCGCTCGACATACTCACATAAGCCTACCTTGATGAACGCCCATTGTTCTGCGGAATCTCCGGTCAGCCTGGGCTCCCCTTCTCCAACACTCCGTAGATATGTTCCCAGATAGGCTGTAGGTTCCGATCAGCCAAGTAGTATCGGCAAGGATCCCCTTCAATTAACTGGAATGCGCCGAATAGGTATTTCTCACTCTCACTCTCACTCTCTTATTTTCTCTCTCTCTTTGTTGATCATTGCTCGACCATATTTCACTGCTGGCTGCTTCTTTTTTCCACGGCCCTCCTCCGTTCTCGGTTCCCCCTCTCTCCACTCCTCCTCATCTGTTCCCCCTCATCTCTTTCGTATTCACCGTTACTTTGTTTTGTTTCGTCAATTTTTTGTTTTGTTTTGTTTTGGTCGTCATACTTGACTGCAGTATTTTCTTTTTCTTCTTCCTCATCTGCAATCCTCCAGCTGGGCAGCAAAGCAAAAAAACAAAAAAAAACAAAAAGAAATGTCATGCAGGAGCCGAGTAGGAAATCACAAGCTAGATCAAATGCCAGTTGACTGACCACTGTGAAAGAAAGCACCCCCGGCAGCGAGATCGATCACACTCACACTCACAGAGCAGCATACTCCGTTCCATACGTACTCATTCTTGTACTTCCGTACATAATACACATCAAATAATTGCCGCCCCATGTCCGAGATAGCCGATAGCGCAAACCAGGGTTTGGTATACTTTTACTTTTTTACCTCCCTGGATCCCTGCGGGCAGCGGCAGAGGAAGGGAAGTATGGAGTGAAACTACGGAGTACAGTAGTATGAGTAGCTGGTAAGTCTGTACCAAAAAAGAAAAAGAGTAAGCTGAGTGGGCGGGGTGAGTTCCTCTCTGGTAGAAGTTCCCCATTCTCCGTCGTCGTCGTCGTCGTCGTCGCCGCATCACAATTCTCGATCTTGACGCGCATACACATACTCTAAGCCTTATCCCCTCATTGATGGACCGCCGAAAAAAAGAGGGCCCTGGACGGAATGGGATTATCCAGACGGGCCATGAATCGGGGATTGGCATGACTATCGCCGCCACCTTGCCAGCATCGGCATCATCATCATCATCATCATCACCACATGAGTAATGTAGGGCCGTAGGAACGGGAGTACAACTCCCTTGGAATCAATCAATATTGGATGAATTCTTCTGTTCTCCCGTGCGGGTTCAGCCACCACTGGACCTTAAACCCAACTCAGTAAGAGTCGAAATGCGAGAGGACTTCCTGCCTGTCACATGCCCGCCCAAGGACGATCAAATAGTCAGGTATAGGGTATATCAACGGAAAAAGAAAAGCGAGGGCAACCAAAAAAAAAAGGAGGCAAAGGAAAAAAGGTCAACGGTCGGATAAATGGCCAGCTTCAGACCCGACGAAACAGGCGGTGTTGGTTGGGTGCTTCGTTCCGCGGGCTGTAGGAAGATTGATTTCATTGCGTCGCAATAATGAGATGATCCAAGCCCTGACTTCTTGTAACTGATCGTCATGGGCTTGCGACGCGGAGGAGATCTCGTCTGGAGTACTCCGTAGATACGGTGGGAGTTGGTATACTGAGTACAAGACTTTTGGAGATGAGCAACGCAATCCTTCCCCGCTACCGCCTGGGCTTTACTTCTTGCCTTGAAGTTTAAACCCGAAGCAATCTAGAACTTTATGACTGTGTAAAGAAAGGACTTGGCCTTTCGCTTGTCTCGCTCTATCCTCTTAACTTCTCCTCTCTTCCTTCTCTTCCCGAAATGAGCAATGTATGTAGTCAGATAGTCCGAGGTACGGAGCAGTAGTCAGATGTATCCATGCTCGAGTCAGACAACAAAGGATGGGTGGAATGTTACCTACGGAGTAGAACCCCTCGAGTCGCTTCAATCCAATTCCTTACGCTCCGATTTGCTCGCGGTCGGGTTGAGGATTGGCCCAACCCGGGATGGATTCCAATCCTGCGAAAAAATGGCAGCGGAACTGGAACTGGAAAGAACCCTGAACCCTCATCGGCTCACGGCATCGAACTACGGTACTATCTACATAGTAGATTACTATCTAGTAGTTACTAGATAGGAGAATACATGCACTCCCTCACTGCCATTGCCCTCTCTCGAACATTGCTGTGCATTCAACTCAAAAACCCCCTCCTAGCCACGCGGATGTGTTCTTGCTTCCATTTTCTGCATGCGGAGTGCAGCACCTACATCCATAGTACATATGGCTGTTACTGTAGCGGTTACTGCTGCTTCCGCGGTAGCTAAATTCGCATATTCGCATATTCGCATTTCCCCCCTCATGCAACGATGACAGTTTCCACGGTCTAGACGACTTAATGTAATGTATACTGCAGTTATCGGTTGTTTCTCCTTACCTGACAGCTCACGGTAACTTTGTTATCTGTTTTCTGTCCTAGCAACGAGAATGTCTCATTCATCATCATCGTCATCCCCCCGGGGAGGAGGGGCAGGGTGTCTTACTCTCGAAATTTCGACGAAATTAAGCCGACACCATACGGAGTAAGCTGAACTAGACTGGACATGGACCGGGCAGCTTCCCTGTTGACTTGTGTGGACTTTGGCTGGGGTTGGTCATCACGTCACACTGCATCATAGTCATGGTTGACAAGTTAAACGAGTTCGTTCGATGTACAGTACCTACACCTACCGTACCCAGTACATCAGTACATCATGAATGTACTGCAGACGGTTAACGTGTGTGTTTTGGGCGCCATGGATCATTCTAGCCATGGACCCTTCGTTTTTTTCTTTCTTGTTCCCTGGCTTATCGCCGGTGACCGACCGACGCACAGCCCCGACCGGTCGACTACTGCCACAGGTGGCCCCCAATTGCTGCCTGGTCTGCCCTACTCCCCCGGGGTCATCGCAGAGTCCCTGTCCGGTCGTGATAGATCGACTCTGGAAAGGAAGCGATCTATCCATCTACCTACACTATCTACGTAGTATGCCAGGGGCGACTTGACTTGGCTTGACGGGAAGCGATAGGTGTTATCAGTAGACCCCTATCTCAGGGCCTGGCTGGATAAGTCATATCATTGTACTATCATGGATGTACAGCAGTATAGCAGGGGCCGATTAAGTCCGGGCCTCCGCATCCCAGGTACTCCGTAGCTTTTCCGATAATCTCTGCTTGGACAACCGCATCGCGCTTATCGGGGGTTATCTTCAGCCTCGCCGCTGCAGTTTGTGGAATTCACTATCCTCGGATTGAGCCACAATGTGCAAGAATCGCTGGATCACACCGATGATGAGGTCGCCTTGCGATCATAGCCCATGAGGATCAGCGAGAGGAGTTCGATTCGCCTTCCATGGTACAACATCCACCCCAGCAGATTACCGCGGAAACGGATTGTTACTTTACCAGAGAAGCACCGCACGAGAAGAGGAAGGAAAGCACACGACGAGGAGACGCGGATCAGCGAAAGGAAAGCTGTGGCGGGTAAACGAAAATGCTAGGGCAACCAACCGGCAACGGCACCACCCACTGCGCAGTCCGGGCGGCGGAAGAACAAAACCACTCACAGGCAAAAAGAAGTGGGACCTTTTCAATCCGCATCTGAAATTCTTATTCAATTGAATCAATTGCGGGTCAGGTTTCTCCACCCCTCCTCCTCCTCCATCGCCTGCTCGACCATCCAGACACCAGGACCTGAACTCCACGTGGCAATCCTATCGTGTGATTGGATCGAAAGTGGATCAAGGCCTGACACCGCGCGACGGAAGGAGGAAAACGACCACGGCAGGAGGTAAACAAAAAAGGCCTCATTTGAGTCAATTCGCTCAATTCGACCACCGGCGGTTTTTGATCGGAAGTAGTCTAATTGTCTCAATCTCGATGCTTGGCCCCAAGGGCAGCAATTCCAGCCGATGATTCTCCGCTTTCTTGCATATGGGTTGCTCTCGGTTGCCCAGGTCTCTGGGTTTTAGCTTGAGACTCACTCGGTTGCTCGGAGCAGCTGAAGAGAAGATACTTGGTAGCTGGACGGCAGTGTCTACGGGAATTAGATTGATGCTGACTCTGCAAGGTCGAACTAGTTAGTTAACTAGACTACTCAGCTAAGACGACCGAGTAGGCAATTTCCACGGTTCAGGCTAGCCCTACCGAGCCTTGCGAATTCCGTCGCGATCATACCGGTTCACTGCTGCCGAAGACCTAGCAAGCAGCTAAACTTGCTAGCTGCCTGGTTCTGACTGACACTGACACTGACACTGACACTGAGCGGGAGGAAAAAGTGGACTGAGGTCGAGAGTTGGTTCCTGAATATCTTCTGCCTGTCCTGTCCTGTCCTTTCTTTCCAGTTCGACCAACCTGGCCTGTGCAGTGGTCTATGCTTTTCAATCCCGTGTAGAAGATAGATGAAAGAGCGTATCCTTTAATGTCCGTAGGCTAGGCTATTCACCAGCATGAAGTAAAGCATATACCACCCGTTTCTATAGATCCAGCGGTAGCAGCCCGCTGCTGGAATTGAAGTTAACGTTACCTAACAACTTTCCTCGTTTGGTTTCCAAACAGAAGACCTGGATTTGTCACCTACACCACTCCAACAACCGACCAGCAAATCACGCTCGAGACATTGCCATCATCAGCAGAAGTCGAGAGTGTACAGAACGGAGCAGCCCACCCCGTTCATCCAGCTCCAGCTCCAGCTCCAGCTCCAGCTGGGCCCAGTCCCGGTCCCAAGGCCCCAGTTCCGTTCCCGCCACGGCCAGTCCATCCTATTCCTCTCCCTCGAGCTCCAACAAGCAGTAGACCCCACCACCACATCCTACAAAGCATTATACAGCAATCACAAACAACAACTCGAGAACCCATCGCCACCCCTCCATGCCCATAACATACATCTAGGCACTAACGTTTTAGTTAGTTAGTGTACTGAACAGTCCCATCCTCACGTAAGCCCTAACCACCTGAATCCCCCAAGTCCCAGATCCCAAATCCCAGATCCGAAGTACGAGTACAGTACATGCATCTGAATACCAAAACTCATCAGAGGAGAATCCTCCCCCAAAAACACGAGCAGAAAACAACTAGCCTCACAACAAAGCCGAAGGAAGGAGCAGTTCAAATCCCGAGAATCGAGGAACTTACAACGTTAGAGTATGAGTAGTATATGTAATTGCCAGCAGAGGTTCATTAGACCCAGTTAGCTAGCTCTTCTCCACTGCGTAGACCGAATTCCCACCCAGTTTTGTCTTTACCCACCCTGCAATTTGAAGCTCTTTCCGACGGTCCCACCGTCTACTTCTGCCGTGGACATCCCGATCCCACTCTTCAATAGACTATGCATCATAACGAAGACATTGGGTGGGGTAGATGGAGGGTAAGGTAGGTAGGCTGGATTTAGGGAGTATGCGGGTGAAGCCTGGAGGGGCGGCGCCTGCTCATAGCTACTTACTATACTGTATGTAGCCTATAATTACGGTATCTTGATTAGGAAGGGAGAGGTGCGTCGGGGATGACCTGGTTCACTTGGGCGGGACGTCTTGGTTACCTGTATGAGAGGATATATAAGGCGTCGGA